CACTACAATATGGTGAGACAAATAAATGAATTATTATTATTAGATTTAGGAAAAAATATCTTAAACTTGTATTCACATTTTGATGCAAAATATCAAGTAAATATCAAAGCAAAATTTTTCTTCAAAGAAAGCTTATGCTTATTTTCATGAGAATGTTTCATACTTATATATGAATAAATTTAATAAAATTTTCAGCAATATGAATCTATATAACACATAATGAATCATTTCATATTAACATCATGCAATTGATCACATATTGAAATTTTAAAAAATTTAAAACAGACTATCATAAAATTTTGTATAAAAAAAATCAAATACTTTTTAATTTATAAATCTATTATAAAATTTTTATGCCAAAGTAAATTCAAAATCATATTTGATTGTTATTGCAAGCCCTAAATGAATTAGTTTGAATTTGAAACAATATTTAAATTTAAATTTGAAAATTCATGAAAAATAAATCAAAAATATTTCATCAAAAAACATGAAGCTAAAATTCCCATTTTGATCTAAATTAAATATAAGAAAAATATTTTTATGTCCAAAAAAATAGAAAAATTTTATAATTCAATCATAATTCATATATTGAAGAAAATCTAGCTAAATAAGTTTTAATAAGGAAATCTACAAATACCAACTAGCCAGATATATTTAATTAGAATTTACATATGCTTTTTACATCAAAAAATTTTTAATATAAAGTAACAAATAATTAGATACAATTTGATCTAATGAAAATAATTCAATGCAATCAATAGTATAAATTTCATTATTTATTCATCAAAAATCATTTCAAATCATGACCAGGAAATTATGTCTACATCTGAATTTGGTAAGTAGATTTATGAAGATTGAGCTATGTTTTGCGCGATATGTTAATAAAAGAAAATTTATGCAATTTTGTTATTAAATTGAAAATAAATAAATGAAATTTTTTGAAACTAACACTATTTATCAAAATTATTTTGATGACACACATATAAAAGTTAAAATGATGCTATCAAATTTTAAAACCTAATAATTTAATGTAGATCTTTATACATTTTTCATACAATTTTTAAAATTTTAATTAAAAAAATTTTGCATCAAAATGTAAAATTTGTTGAAAGAATTGTTGAATTTGGACATATTTTTATTTTTAAAATTTTTTAGCTTTTAAATTTTTTAATTTCTTAAAACAAACTATATGCCGTTTGCAAAGTATATATATTGAATCTTATATACTTCAATGACTTTTTAAAAAAATTTACTTGCATGATTTAGGTATAATTAAGTTCAAAGTTAAAAATCTTGCAATTGGAAAATAATATATTATAGTGAAATATGGTTTTCATTTGAAATTAATATGATTATAGGTAATTTTTATATCTAAATGATTACTGAATAATAAATTGATTTTATTTGTTCTTTTGAATTTACTGCAATTTTCTCAATTTAATATTTGTTCGCTAAAATGAGGAGTAACCTAATAAACACAAAAAAGATGGTCTCAGGAGAATGTTCATTGTATTAAAAGAATCCTTTTATCATGCCTGCAATAATTGTGACTTAAAATGGAACAATAAGGTATTCAGATGTCATATCTCATGTTTTTTAAAACATGAATTTCATATTTCTGCCATGTGAGGTTAGTTTAATCTTTTATCGAAGGTCAAATCTTGGTTTTCGGATTTAAAATTCAAATCGAGATTCGGAACAGTATTTATCACTCTCAGATTAAATACGCAAGGTTGCAGTTTAGTGTAATTCATCGAATGTGCTCTTCAAGATCAGACTCGCATGAAGTCAAAATCAATTTATGTAAAAGATAAATATTCGAAGTGTATGAACAAATTCATTGCTGAACTGGTTCCGATTTAAGCAAAACATCAGGAAGGGCAAGAAAATGGCCATGAAAGGGTCTTTAATATGACAATAGGATGATACATAACATTTCCATCTTCAATATACGAAGACACGACATATAATATGAAGTTTATCTCCCATGTCATGAGATTGCTGCATTCCACGTGAAACCCTCCGTTATATTAGAATTTTGTCTATTTTGTGCTGGGGGCGTGAGCTCATGTATACATATACTGTAGACGGCAGTCCATTGTTCTTGTGTGTTGTTCTTGCTCTGGAATGTCACATTTTATAAGCGCGCAGGTAAGCCTGCATATTCAGGCATTTGATTCGAGAATGAAGGCAGAAGTTGTCCTTGCACAGAGAAAGCAGTAGAAACCTGGAACCAGAGGTGGTCACGACTCCCAACCTGCGGAAGAGTAAAGTTGACTACTACTGACCGACTGACTTGACGTGGGTTAAAACAAAACCCAAGTGGCAGCCCAGCCAATAATTGAAAAGAAGAGGTGCTCACCTATCAACATTAGTAAAGAAGATTGAGAGGAATCAAGGGAGGAGGGTGGTCCCAAGGCACTACTAGGTCTTGGACCTTCGACAACTCCGGTAGGTTCGATGGATGATTATTATGGAAAATCCGCGCAGATATTTCAAGTATATCAATTCAGAATATAGCGACACTGAAGCCCGGTGCCCGGTGGCCAACATGCAGTGCAGTGAAGGTAGACTGGGGGAGGGCATATTGACCACTAGTGAACAGAAATCAATGACTTCCTTCACCTTTGCCAAATAAGACATACACATGAAGATTCAAACCCGTCACATGGGTTTGAACCCCCTCTCCGGCAATCCTCCTAAACCGGGTGGCGACGGAGACCAGCAAATTACTCGGGGCCCCATATAGATTTGAATATTGTTTTACAGAAGGGAAATGCGCCCCTCCTATTCTCGGCGATGAAAGGAAGGTGAGGCGGTGGGTGACGGTCTCGGCCAAAACGGCCGAAAGCGAGTCCCATGTTCATTGGAGGGTCGGTAATAGAATTCTCCTTTACGGGCCGCGATTGATTGTGACGGGGCCCGGGGATGTGAAGGGCAAAAGCTGCAGCACGTACTACGACTATCACCAAGTGGATGGCAGAGAGGTTTGGCCCAAAAGTCAATTTTTCCAGTAGAGGAAAATCGACCTTCTGCACGCTTCTCGAGAGCAGAATACTTGTCAACAGCGCTGGTATTCTCCGTACGTGTCGTCCGGCTCAGTTTGATCATCACCCAAGGCTCTCTTGCTGCTTGTCGAAGGTGAAGAACGAGAAGATGGAGCTTAGAAGGCCAATGTGAGATGTAAAGAAAGCTGTGGTTGTACCCCAAGACCTGCTGCAGAATTGACTTCTTCACCGATTTGAAAATCGGCTCTCTGACACACTGCGAGACACCTAACGGATCCTCGTGTCTACGTATCCCCACCGTGCAATGTGGACAGGAACGCATACATCGACGTTGAACTCGGCCATGGTGATGGAAATATAAGCAAATATTCGCTAGAATTTCTCGAGTGCTTGCATAGTAGGCAATGCTACCGGATCATATAAAAAAATGCTCACAGGCTTTCAGCTAAGCTTGACAAACTCGGCGCGCATTCTACTCTCTCGGAGCTCATACTGGTGAGATTCCATGGACAGAAGGCAGGAGAAAGGAAGACTTGCCGCTTGTTTTACCGTGGTCAGAAATAACTGGGGCTGCTTGATGTACACCGAAAACGATTCGATCGGCAAGGCTGTTATGAGAAGCACGGAGGGTTGGAACACAAACAGACTTTATTGGACTGAACATGGTACTCATACAAATTTCAACTACACATCAGCAGGCACATTCTGTCAGCTTTTCGGGGCCGCCAAGTCATCACGTCACTAACTTGTCATGCGAACCCGACCTCGGCACTACGGATGCGCTCTTTCACACTCCACGCTCAGTACCACCTTCAATGCTATGGGTTGAAATGATTGGGCCACACTCGAGGCGTAGCAACCGTCCAAACCGGTCACCGTTTCCGCTAGATGGCAGTGCGTAATTTTCGTCAACCTTCCTCCCAGCCGACAATCCAAGTACATAGCTAACTGAGTGGGCCAAACTCTTTGTCTCCAGGACATAATCTTTGCCTTTGACGATCCTCCCTGTCTACGAGATAACCAACATCTTCCGCTGCCCGATACATTCCTCGTCACATTCCATTGCTTCGCAGCTTTTTCGCACCGCTTGAACACGTCTTTGCCAGATTGTCAAAAGAAAATCAGACAACTGAGAATTCTCTGGTGACCTTTGAGCATGTGTGAGTGTCTAGAGTCTCACGAGAACCTTGTAGATTCCTCGTTGAAAAAATGGGACCTTCTCTCGTACCAAAGCAGCTTGCACGCCGTGATTCCATCATTAATAAGTACATGAAAGGCTATTCAAAAGCTGGGATACCTATTTACCCACAACAACCACATGACAACGACACTCATGTCCAAGAATAAATGCGGCAAAACATCTTAGCTACGGTATGCAATAATTGCGAGCACAATACTACGAAGGAGGAAAAGTTCTCGTCTCAAAATCCCAAGCATCTATCCAGCTTTCCCAAAAGATGACCTACTCTATCAAATGGCACACAGCTTTCACAAAGATTCAAGGCTAGCGTCTACCTAAAGCGAAATGACGCTCATCAGGCTTTCAGAGTGTTGAAAAACTTGTATTTGTTAGGGGCTATAAGAGGACGTCGAGAAAGGAGAAGCACACGGTAAAGAGTGAATGCCTCATGACGTTTCAGTGAACAAGTAAACAGCTCGATCACTGGGAGGAGAGGAGGTTGTTCAATGACGAATGCATTGCACATTTTAAAAAGGCTGCGACACTAACTTGCCTCAAAGCCTGAGTTCTTAGCCTTCGGTAATTTCTTCTGCCTGACAATGAACCTAAATGCAAGATCTTCAAGTGGTTCCAAGGAGGTGGATAGAGTGAGAAGGGAAGGCATTACATTCAGCACAGAGTATACTACGGCGATTGCTCAGATATAGTATAAGTCGACGTCGAAGTGATTCAGATGTGCAATTTCGTGTGATAAACCTTCTCATATCCCCTTCAAGGCTTGCGACTAAGCAAGGAATCATCCAAATCACGGAGACCAAAATTACTCACCTAGAGTTTCACAATTTTATTAAAACTTGACATTCAAGCTCTCTATGCAGACTACCGACTGGTGAAAGTTTTGAACAAAGAAGGCATTCAAGGGGCTAAATGTGTCCGCTACACTGACTTGACAGTAACCTGGCAACCCTCAAGACGTAAGACCAAATTTATTGGAAGGACAGCAGAATAATATGCTCTTTTAGCTGCTTAAATGCAGTGGATGGACGATCTCTGAGCTCCTTTAGACACATCGTCCCATAAGGCCAATCTCGCAGGGTCCCTTGTGTTTTGTATTCGCGCAACGCTTACATCTATCAACAAAATTCTCCATTTCAGAGTCACATCTTCATCCATCTATAAAAACTTGCGTGGCGCTCTTCCGGCCATCTGATCCTGCTTATGCTGCACAATTTGAAAGAACATTGATCTTCAGTAAAACAATATCGCATCGATTCTTGCACCCAAGACAAGATTCTCCAGAAAACAGGCAAGGAGCTTCATCGTAGTCGCTATGAGACGGCAACACTCACAGCTGCTCAAGGGAGTATTAGGTCAAACACTGAGGAGAACCGCGATCAAGTAACTGAACGAGATCTGGAACTCTATGATAGAGGACAAGATAAAGTAAGTCTCAGGGTCGACTTTCCACACTAGCCACCCTCACAACAAGTTCATCACTACAAGCTCCTTTTAAAAGTAAGGTCACATCCACATAATTTTCGATTTGAATGTGAACCTTTTAGAACTCAATAAACTGGGCCGAAAGCAACAAATACATTCCGGACATCCAACTCAAAGTCCGAACTCAATCGCTTGCAGGAAATCGATTTGATTACGAAATAAAATGCAGGACTTGTTCTTTGGAGCTTCATGAAAACCCAAAAATTGTGTATCATATGCACTCTTTGATAGGTAAAAAGGTATCCAAACATGAGGCGCATGGCAAAGTACTTGTAAACAAAAACTTGTAAGGATTTGTACGACAAAATTGATTACTTTGATGTCTCTGTCGCAGGAACAAACGCCGTTGGAGCGGGTGTAAGAATATAAGGTATCCAATGAGAGAGGCGATGCAATTCACCAGAAACAATAAGACCAGTCAAACATGACTACATACACAATGAGGCCCTTGGGTCTTTGGCCTGAACAGCCAAAGACCCAAGGAAAAGGAGGAGTGATAAATACCAGCAGATATGAAAAAAAGTTTCACGAGGCAGAAAAAAGTAATTTCTTTGCGAATGCTAAAGTCGGACAGGATGCACCAAAAAGAACTCAGAACTTCTAGTTCAGAGCAGGACACCTCCAACATATGTTGACAGTTTGGTGTCCACACACCGAAGGACAAGGTGGCGAAGACACTAGCAAAATGGCATGTGAATTGATGTAAATAGAATGTGTACAGTGATCAAACGCAGTAAAAATGACAAACAACATATGCGCAGCCAAACCTGTTAGATAAACTAAACACAGCTTTCAACATAGTGTATTCAGTAATCAAAATAATCCTCATTGTGACGTTATGCACGAACAAGACGGACAAGGTTTCAAGACAAGAGTTCCTGATAATCCACGGACCAACGATCTTTCTAAAAGAATTTCGAAATACACCTTAGCCCAACTCAATCGTTCGTGCAGCTTAGCTTAACTGAAGAACTTCAGCCCTCGACCCTGTGAGGAATGCTTCTAACACAACAGTTCTTTCATTCCTAAAATTGAGTTAGGCAAGGTGATGTACAATCACATAAGCTGGCAAAGTTCTGAACAGGGGCTCAGATCTCTAACATTTGAGATTTTTCACAATATGAAAGTGTAAAATTCATTTACAGCGATATCCCATCATACATTCAAGTGACTAGTTAGAACTGTTGTCAGATATTCGAGGCCATGACAGCAGTTACTGCAGATTCAAGTATGTTGGCTCGTACTTAAAGGTGGATGTAAGGTCGCTACTTTCAAATGAAGCAAGCAAAGAAGTCGGCACAGGAAGTGACAAAGTTCTCTCAGGAATCAGCAAGAAACCTAGTATGCACCCCGACAAGAACTTCCTGTAAAACAGAGGGCTTTGTTGTGAATATTTTGGTTGATGGAAGTACAAGTCTCGTAACATATCTTCACAGTATAAGTATAGTTTGCAGTTTATTTGCATCGTCTCTGAGTTATCCTGAATCTTGGGCAATCTCTCGAATCTGACCTCAAGTCTAAATAGCATATACATCAACGTGGTATTCTTGAATGCAATACTCACAAATTCGTCTCTGACAAATTGATACGTAAAAATCGGTGTTAAAAGCCCGAAGAGCAAGCAAACAGGAATGGACCGTCGATTGAATCGAAATTTCTGTTCCAAATTTTCACGGTGACTTGCCCAAGCCTCAACCCACTCATTCTTATGAACATCCATACCGCCTGCCATCTCTGTTCCCTGTATAGCTTCCCCTTTTACTCCCCTCACGAGACACAACTCCAAGATGAGATTGATACTGAAACTATTTAAACGAGAGCTACGACAGCGCGAGGAGTTCGAGGATCCTACTCAGCCCAATCCCCTCTCGCATTTCTAGACTCTCGTTCAGGTCTCGAAATGACTTGACCGTCCCCAAGCGGAACTGATACATCACTTTCCACTGCCTGCTAAGATTCAAAACCAATTGGATGGCCGACAGAGTTTTGACTGCAGAAAATACCCTCGAATTATCTCAGATCTATTCAAGAAAAATAATAGCTCGGGTAACCCACCTTACACAGTCCCAGGTAGATGTCGACATCTACCTGGGACTGTGCAATCAACACAAAAGACTTTTTTCCCAAGAAGAGGCATACCGCATTCGCATGTAGATCGACCACAATTATCCAGATAAATAAACTATGATGCAGAACCCTAGATCGAGGCTTAACGAAAACCATGTGCGAGGGCAAATTCGCCTACATCATCAGAAAGAGTATCTTGGCTATCACACGGGAGGAGGAAAAATTCTCAACTGTAAAGAACATGGAAAACCCCAAAAGAAACACAATCATCACTTACGAATTCGGATGTGATGCCCTGGTAAGTGATAAGAGGAACGAACAACCCAAAGAGCAGGCAGATTGGAACCGTTCGCCGATTAAACTTGAAGGCCAATTCCAAATTTTCCCTGTTGGTGGCCCATTGCTCCACAAACTTGTTCTTGTGCACATCCATACCTCCCGCCATTGCTGCCAAACTCCAAACGGATTCCTACCGTGCCCTCCTCCACTCCGCTTCGGACAAGCAGGCAAGCAAACCTCGCCTCCTCTCGTCTCGTCTCGTCGCGCCTTCTCCTTCCTTCGCCCTTCGCTTCTTCGGCCTTCCTCTCCTCGTTTGTTTCCACGCAATCTGCTTCCAGCCAAAACCCAAGCCGCGGCCGCAACGCTCTTCGCGGCCTCCTTGTTGACAAAGCAGCTCTAGAAGCACAAGTTGCACATTGTCCGCTCTCTGAACTGATTTTCGACCAATTTTTTCGCACATTTCATATTTGCAAACCAATTTTAATATAATTCTGTACAGGGCAGCATGCTACTACCTTGAGACTTCTGGGTTCGATTTGTATAATTTGACTTATTTCCTAGTCAGAACCAGAACTGTAAACTCGAATATTATCCACAAACAATTTTGTAACCAAGATATCATGAATAACAAAATATATGTTCTTAATTCGATTTGTATTATCTGACTTATTTCCTAGTCAGAACCAGTCCGAAGTCTCCAAAACTGTAAACTCGAATATTATCCAAAAATAATGTTGTAACCAAGATATCATGAATAACAAAATATATGTTCTTGATTCGATTTGTATTATTTGACTTATTTCCTAGTCAGCACTAGTCCGAAGCCTCCAAAACTGTAAACTCGAATATTATCCAAAAATATACGAGAAACCAAGAAATAATGAATAACAAAATATATGTTCTTAATTCGATTTGTATTATTTGGCTTATTTCCTAATCAGAACCAGTCCGAAGCTTCCAAAAATGTAAACTCGAATATTATCCAAAAATAATTGAGAAACCAAGATATAATGAATAACAAAATATATGTTCTTAATTCAATTTGTATTATTTGGCTTAATTCGTAATCAGAACCAGTCCGAAGCTTCCAAAACTGTAAACTCGAATTTTGTCCAAAAATAATTGAGAAATCAAGAAATAATAAATACAGAATATATGTTCTTAATGGGTCCCTACATCACATCAACAAAAAAGCATAGTGCAGGGGCAAGGTCAGAATATAAGAGCATTTCACTGCTTTCACAATTATAAGACCTTTTACAGATGAGACGACGGGGTAGCAGGTATTGGGGATGTCCCCAAGGAGCCCAAATCTTTCGAGGGAGTCACTTGCAGTTGAATTCTTTAAATTTCACTTTTTTCGACTGTTTCTATGACTGCTGAAGTTTTTGTGCTTCATTTCTATTTGCCATGTTTTCTTATGTCTGCTTCATCTCTGGTCTGCTATTTGCAACTTCAGCTCTTGCTCCATTTGCATAGTCACTATATGTTCCATCTCGCTCCCTCACAACGCCTTGCTGTCTATGAATTTTGCCATCTATGCTCGCCTGAAGCAAATGGAGCGTTCGACTCTCACAACTAAATATCGGCTCGAAATTCAGAAGTTCCAACTGTCACATAAAAAACTTTACCCGGCCTCTCGTGCGTTTTTATATTAGACATGTGACAAATAAGTTGTGCAATAATTATGTAGAAATCGAGAGACTCACTAAAGTCATTAAACTTATGGAAAATGTGACCCTAGTCTGAAAAACCTATAATATTTTATAATTTGAACAATAATCATGCTTGCGAACTCGTGATAAGAATCATATAATATGTGCGCATACAAAATGGACTGACAATAATTTGTGTGATCCCTGCCATGACGAGTTTATGTAAGCAAATTGCTGAAGTACGCATTTGAAATAGTGTAGTCATAATTTGTGTGCTTGATTCTTTGCTCCTTGAAAAAAGGTTAATAATAATACTCTGGACATGATGTATGACTTGCAACTATAGGCGATGTCACAAGGAGAAGTGACTTGTAGCTAGCACAAAATGACCGGCAAGCAAACTGGTCACTCTAAAATCTATCTCCTCCCACCTGCAAAAATCAAAGCTTATAGAGACCAAGAGCCTTATAAACACCTCACACATGGAATGGTGAGGTAAATTTCAAATAAATAATATGACAAAAATCATAGCTTCATAATCAATCTCTGTGATATTCCAACTATATTCTAACTGAACAAGAGCAAGAATTAGATGAAACTGGAAGAATAAATTCCCAACTTGCATGTCTCATTATAGAAAAACCACTCAAAACCTTAGTCAAGCACATGTTTGCTAATATATCTCTGTACAATTCTCCACTGAATTTTATCTACATACTACCTGATATTTTTGTGGAAGAGTCTAGTCCTAGCATACAGTTGGTGCAATTTTTACTTGGAAAGCTTGGATGTTGTTCAGAAAAATATACTCCTCTTATCCGCAAATTGCAAAATTGTGGAAACTACAACTTGGAACCTAATCAACCCTTGGGCCCTATGTACCTGCACACAACTTTCTCATTGCAAAGAGACCTACATTTATTGTGCGGGTGTTTTTTACGAAATCGCTAAATTATATACTAATAATGAACTCTCCCAAGACCGCTTTCCAGCATGGATATGGATGTACCCAAGGTCTCCCAGTCCAGGTGCTGCCGCAATGTTTCCTGTCATGATGGGAATTGATGTCTCCAGGACTCTTTCCGATCATCAACTCAGTAGCGCACGATACTGACCCTATTGTCATCTACCTGTATGTGTCTCCTGTAGAGAGGGAAGGTCGAGGAAGATGTTAGTCTTCGTCTTACTGATAGTACAGTAATCTCGAACTGATACACAAACGTCAGTTTGTCTGGGTTCGTGAGCTCGAACCCCTTGAAGATTTTCTGGATAATACACAAAAGTATTATAGCTATTACCAGGCAACCTGAGGTTTACCCGAGCTATAGCTAAGAGCATTGTCTTTTGTGATCTCTGAAATGCTTCCTTTCCTCCAAGTGCGATTGCATAAGTACTGAGAATTTTCTACCAAAGTAAATCTCATACTCCGCGAGGAAGTGACTAGAGGTTTGTAATTCTTTCGCTCTCCATATTTATGACATTCAGAAGTTGTGACTTGTGATGCACTGTCTGCATCTAAGTACGTCCACTGGTATAGCCAATATCTTGCAGATTACTGGGTACGTACTGTACTTCACAATGATGGGTTCTATGAAGTGACATTGTTACCCACGGGTAGCATGACTTTCGTCTTCCAATCTTATGTATGTCTCGTCATCTGTTTGTGGAAATACAGTAGGCCCAGTCTACTCCACCTCATTAACTAAAAACTTCAATTCGCTCTCCGAGGCGTGTAAAGTAATTAATTAATTACTCTGATTAATTTCTTCGCCATTACATTCGCGTAAGAAAAATGGCCGTGCAATACATTCTACACTCTGCAGACCGCTTCAAAAAAGATACTCGTTACTTCCCTCTAAACGTTAATGTCAACTAAGCGTAAGAAAAGGCTTGGTAGTATGATTAAGAGCACCATACCAGCTAACTTATCACCTAAAAATCCAAACCTTTATTATGAAATAAGCAAATATCAGTTTCATCCTTTGATACTAAAACAGAATGTTAAGTACAAATTCTTATTTTAGAAATGAATCGCTGATGACGACAAGTTTGTGCCCACTGGTTGAGCGAAAAATGTAGTTAATTCACATCTAAGGGAAACGACTAAACAAACTACATGTGTGAGGCATCCTGGTATTATCAGAACCGTTGATTAACTGAGAAGGCTACATTTTTAATGTCCATGATTTGTAAACGGGTGAAAATTCAAGAAACTCCGGATCTCTGAACATCCGAGAACGTAGAAACAAGAGTGCATGATCCATGGGGAAGACCACACAGGTGATTGTCTTAAATGAGGTAGGCAGCATTATCGTCAGTAAACCTTAACCACAACCGATACAACAAGTAATTAACTGCTAAGATATCCTAAACTGATAGCTGAGACCAACATAATTCCAACTTGACAAACCATTCACTTCCCCCAAGCTCATCAATTTTACATTAGATCCAGCAAGGCTATCATAATAATCAACTAATCATCCCCCAACGGCTTAACATTTCTCAAAAGGCTCTCAATTTTACATTCGATCCAGCAAGGCTAACATAATAATCAACTGTTCATCCCTCAACGGCTTAGCATATCTCAAAAGGCTCTTAAAAAAAGTTTTACTAAACGGTATAACCCTTAAGACTAATGATGTCAAATTGCTAGTTTCTATGTAAGTGCGTATAGGACAAGTGTGATGTAGATCTTTCAGAAAATACAATAACCGCTACGGAGAATTCGCAGTTAATATCAGAAACGTCCAGTTCAACAGCAAGAGACAGCTCCAAAAGTACAGTGGATTCACAGACCTTTCTAACCACAAGAGTGACAGTAGATGTTGTGTATGAGTGGGAATTACCGACTGACTTGTGATCAGAACTTGTAACTTGTACCAATAGACAAGAGATGCTCAGATTGGTAAGGAAGAATTCTCATCAGTGTTGCCTTGGGAACACATGTCTGCAGAAAGATCACTTCCTCAAAAGAATGATGCTATTCACAAAACAGACATGTGTATGACAGAAAGACATAATAAGACAAACTCATAGAACTAATCCGCGAAGAGTAGCTTGATTAAGTAGGAAGTGCGCTTCCCCATGTCATCACAAGGCAGAGTCCGGTTTGAAACCGAATCAAGTTACGAACAACCAGGTTTGACAGCCTCACAAATTAGTGTACATTTTCTGTGGCACAAGCTCGAAGTCATCGGGATCGTACCGAGGTCTATCTTTGCCAATCTGCAACAACAAAAAATGACAGCAGATTCGATGAGACACACGTTCTTAATAGAGTTGTTTCAGAGTTCAACAGTCATGCTATCGAAGAGCACCACTAAACTGGAGAATACATCTCATGGCTTTAACATGGAGTAATCGCTACGACGAGTATAATAAAATTTTCCCGGCCTTCAACCACATTCATCAGAACATCCTTTTTGAACACAGTCGTAATTAAGACGATATCCCGGAGTAAATAGACAGATCAACAAACCTTGCTCAAGTAATTTTGATCACATAAAACTTGCTCGTCGACAGAAGACAGCTTCTTTGCAAGACGTATGATACTGGAACGAATATAACAGCCAACATCAAAAGTGAGTATAAGTCCCCAGGAACTTTCGGTTAAGCGTAAACAGGACAAAAGTACCCGCTGGGAATATAGTTTAGGGTAAATGGGTTAATATACTAAATAAACGCGCGATAGTACTGTCCTTATTTATGACAGGGGAATCATGCACCACATTAGGTTGAACGAACAAATGCCTGTTAAGGATGAGTATGTAACACTTACTGTTGGATCTCAGAATCAAGCATGTTAGCCATTTTTCGAGTGTTGTACTGCTCGGGGTCCTCTTGAAAGCTAACCATTCCATCTTTCTGGTTTATTGTTGCAAAAATCTCGCCATCTTGGATCTGTAAAAAGACAATATCACATGATGAACCATAATAGTGACGTACTACGATTTCAATGGTTCGATTGCCTGGGCAATAGAAGACCCTTTCCTACACAAAGCTGATAAAGTGGCTCCAACGTAGAACCACACACCGCAATTCAAATTAGGGACACTTTCACCCCGACTTGAAACAAAATACTCAACTTTAAGATAAATTTACCGCATAAAGTTTTTCCTATTTATGTAGAACTTTAACAACATGGATTGTTTGTACAATACACGGAGAAAAGACCGACCATTTGGAGAATATGCAATTCTGCTTCTTTTGGTCCATCAAGTTGCACGGTATCGGCAATGTCTTGTAACGAGAGAGTAAGGTACGTTTGAGTAAGCCTTTGAATGTTACGCTTGTACAGCGAAGCAATGACTTGGTTTGCAAGCCCCAAATTTGTGTCCTGTCACGTCACGATGTACAACGTCAAATGACTGGCGCAAATATTTGAGACTTTAAAAAGCCATCGAGATATATATAATGAAAATGAAACGTCCTCATGCCCGTAGAACTTCCCACGTTCGCGCTTACATTTTTGAAAACGTCTTCATGTGCATTGACGCAGCGTTTTACATCCATGATATTTCGACTGTTATACAAATTAGCTAGATCGAAGTAATCCTGCACGGACACCACATGCTGACAGATTATAATTTATAGCAAGAAAAATGTAAGAAAAAAAGTTCCAACTTCGCAGTAAGATGAAACACTATGTTGTTTAAAAGCAAAGCTAGGTGTATATAAAGCGAGCTACATGACTCCATATGAAGGTTGGAAAAAATACTATTTCCACTCCTCATCCCTAGCCTAAATGAGTTACACCACTTCTCAGCGTAAAAGATATGCAGTGCCACTTGAAAGGCCAAGAGCAAAAATGAATGCGTTGAGATAAATGAGACGCATAGACTACAGCTATTCAGCCTTCTTAATTCGGAGGCCTGTGAAGTACCTGAGCACAGGACTTGAGATTCCTTTGCACGACTGAGGGAGTGTATTTTGGGAACGGTGGAACCTGCTCAAACGTGGTAGTTCATACTCAGAACTCCACAATAAAGGACTAGGTACCATAAAACACTATTTCTAATGTAAGCACTCACACTAGAATACTCGAAACAACGCTAAAAACAACGATGATTATCAACAGAACAAAGAACTGAATGTCAAACCAGCTGCTGCTTTCTAATCTCTGACGGGCCGCATCTACTAATGACAGACAGTCTCTGCATGTACTTTTATCATTCCAAATACCAGAACAAAAAAGTAAGAAAAAGGTCCACATTACTTCCTTCAGAACATCCTAGATACGATGCAAGAAAAGGTATTTGAAGTCAATGTATAAACTGTTCAACAAGCAAAACAAGGTTCATAGCCAGGGTCGCCATTCCTTCCTTCTGAACATCCTATATACGATGCAAGAAAAGGTCTTTGAAGTCAAGGTATGAACTGTTAAACAAGCAAAACAAGGTTCATAGCCAGGGTGTAGAGGAAAGGTTCAGGCTTAGACCTGGAATCCTTGTTGGTTCTATCGTTGGTCAATTACAAACATTCATGATATCAAATATGGTATAGAAGCAAAATTGAGAAAACCTGTGGCTCACCTGACCGTTGTGAATGAGACAAACTAAAACAAACTTCTTGTACGCTGCAATTGTAATGGCATTCAGCACTGTTGCAGGAGCAGTAATTGCCTGTGTTTACGAAACGAGGAATATTGTTAAGTTTATGACACGTCTCCCCAGGTAACACTCTAAAAACTTGTAACAAAAATTTAAATCACATAACGACTAAGTTACTTAAAGAGGCAATCTTACATGCTGGAAAAACTCCAGTGCCTTGCCAAACCGTTTGAGACCAATGTATAGCATTCCACTGCAGCCAAAAGCGTGCTTCATCAGTTGTTTCTTTGAATCTTCGTTTGGACCTATCTAGCTTCCTGTCGCAGCAATTTACCAGTAAAGAGGAACTAAGATTGGGCATCATGTTCCTTGACATTTGAAAATCTTATGAAAGCTTCAATAACATGATTCAAATCACACCCTTCACGGGCACAGAAGATCAGCTAATTCATCAAAGCAGAATCTAAAACAGTTCACGCATGAACTCCAGACCAAAATACTTCTTATCTTTGAATCTTCAAAAGGGAAAGAAAATTACCCATAGTAACAATGCAGGAGAAAATCACGTGGCATTAGACCAGTTCTTTTCTGATCAATCTCAAAAATATCATCTTCCAAAATATTAAGGCCTGCTTTGTAGCACTTCGATAGTAAGCATAGCAGGAGATAATCGGCGTGAAGTGGTGTAAGGTACTCGGAGGAAGGCTGAGATTTGCGAATCGCTGCATACAGTGGTAGAATTGCACAACTAGGCTCCATCATTTGCATTGCCTGATCCTTCAGTCTTCGACAAAGGATATTAACTGTCATCAAGAAGAAACCTTGTTAGTTTAGTACCGTATGGGGGTATAACTGCAATCTTAACACAAGGCAATAAATTGGAAAAAGTACAGGCTCTCCATAACTTCGCACATTCAGAAAAAAGAAGTGAAGCTGAGGTGTCTACAGCAAAGTTCAACCTCTACAAAAAGTCCACGAGTTTCAACAAAATCAACACCGAGTCTGCCAAGATAACGTTTAGCAAATAGGTAGGTTTTGTGTTCACTGTATCACAAACCGGGCTAAAATACAAGCTGATATTAATAGAAAACGAAACCTCAATCATTATCTTTCAGAAAGTCAAGCAGAAACACCTCATCCCGCTATCTTAGTCACTAACAGGCAGATTTGAATACAGTTCCAATTCAATTTAAGTTGAACCAGACTTTTGCAACTGAATCTTTCTGCCATGCTGCTATAATGTCCACCCTAAGGAGGAATGCTTTGTAAGTTAGCTACAGATAGAGTTTAGTCAGTTAAACAGACTATGGTAGTAAAGTGGTAGAAATATACTGGGTAACTTCGAAAGGAGGTGGCCCAGCCACGTAGAGGAACAAGAGTAATTTAGGATGTGATCCCAACATACATTTGTCAATGGCAAGTCGTATTTGATCTGCTGAACATACAGTAAGAAAATTTGATGCCGCAACTACGAAACTCCCGGCTTGTTCCTTTGATAAAGTGCCTGATGAGTGTGCTTCGCTGCAGTGAACAAAAGCCATATGAGCGGGTTTAATCAACTATAGAAGGGCAAAGACAACTTCTTGTACTGTTTACCATGGTGTAATCACAAATCGGCTAAAAAGCAGTACAAGTGTAGAGACTTAGATCTGAAAGTGGAGGCCACTTGCGTTTACTGAACACAATGTATTCTTTTCAAAAAAGATCTAACTTGTGATCAATCAAGCTCGTTTCTCACTTGTAGATCAGACCAAAGAAGCATAAACGAGGATTTAAAGAAGCCGTGAATGAGAATGATTTGAAGTTCTACAACAAGTTGGCACAGACCTGATTTCCTGGCTTGGTATACGATTTAACAGCATATGTCATCAGACATGGGTTGAGGCAAACAAAGGAACAAATTCCTAGAGAGTAGCCAAACAATTCCCTGAACCCCTGAGAAACCTAAGCAAGTAACAAATCCCAAGGATGCACTTGGATGTATTTCGCGAGTCTCCGACATCATCCAATCATCAAAATATGAAACAATCTGAGAACAAGTCAGATAGCACAAGCTGCTGCTGACAATACTAAGTTTGGTCTGGTTCTTCATCGAAACCATTGCCAGCCTAACCAGCGAGAGACATAAAGCAAGACAGAAGTCAAGCACACTGTATGCTTTGGTCTTCGACGTTGCAAATAGCCCCAAATTCCAGCCACTTCGTTATGGCTATATGAATGAAAATCCCCTCATTCACATATTCAAATCCACGGACGCTCAAGGAACAATGGGGCATACAGACTACTATTAGTAAAACATGAGCTGCGATGGGAACGATACATCGAAGCAAGCAAGTAGTTCGTAATTGCCAGTCTTGGTGACTACATGAGGTTAAACAAGTCCAAGAAAAAACCTCACGATGCCCATTCGGATTTGAGCATTTTAAAAGCACCGGACGAATTGGTAAAAAACCAAGCAAATGTGACTCCTCGGCCCAACTTTGTGTCAATTGACCTAGCGCCAACACCAAATTTACGGGCAGCTTTTTTTTCCTCTCAAACTGATCATTCCAAAGAGAAGAACTAAACACGGAATTTTAAAAAAACAAGAGAATGAATATAAAATCAGAACGTACAGGAGATAAAGATAGCCAAGGGAATGCTTGGCAGGGTCCAGGGCTGCTAAAGCATATAGCAAGCGCGGCGCGTGCACTGCGAGCACGCTCTCTGATTGCTTCAACAACCCGGCTAAATGCACACAATCATCGGCGCTTCCGCTCAGCGCCTGCACCTGCGTCACCACCGCATCCAGCGAGTCCATCATGCCAAGCTTCACTGATACCGATCGATGCCTGCTCTACCGATAAGCAGCAGGATCGACCGATCGAAAGACGGGAAATGGATACTTCTTCTACTTCTCCCCACGTCCTTCTCTTTCTTCCTCGTCCTCCTCTCCTCTCTCTCTCTCTCTCTCCGGCTGATCAGCCTTGTCCTCCGTTTCGTGTCCTCTCCTCTCTTTTACGTCCTTCCTCGTGTACAGCACACTCCTGTACTGTACCGCTCGCTTGCTCGTTCTCGGTCTGGGTCTCTCGAGAAGATCAATAGAGCAGTCGCAAGACTCGCAACACTTGTGTTCTGTACATACACCATTCACATACGAGCTATCATACTGATTCCAGACCCCCGATCGCACGCGACGCAGAATTTGTTTCGTTGTCGTCCTGGGCTGGGCCCCGTCCCGTTCTGCAGTACCTGGTTGTGACACTACTACGTTGGCCCATTCCACGCACCGACGTCGTTCCTCGATTCAGATTATGGTCAGTCTGGTGACGTTCCCGGTTTCATTACTCGCTGCTCCGGGTTCTGGTCACGTCCACTTCTACGCTTGTGACTGGAAGCTATTTCCCAGTTGTAACTCTTGTGAGATATGACCGTCAGTTGTAAGGTGATATTTGTACATCATGAGTTGATATAACACTTATGGGACATCTCGTTGATAAGCCAGTCTCAGTGCATGTGCAAAAGGTTTCAGCTCATAGTTATACCCATATGTGCATGGATATGAACTGGTGTGGATGTGTTCGAAAGTCACGTCACTATGCCGTCGTGCTCTTTTTTAACTACCAATATTTGGAGTTTCATTTCCATGGGGCTCCAACAGCAATAAGCATAAAATATGTATCACGAAATCGCTTACTGCTAGGTTCTTCACTCTTCTTAAATTAAAAGGATTGAGCTCTGCATCCCCTCGTCAAAGCCGTGATATGCTCCAAGAAAATCAGATAAGGCTATGATGTAAACAGTTTTTGGGATGTACAAGTCACTTCCGGCAAGCTGTAGTCATTGTTTTGCAGGTAGCTTAAAGCATTGCTCAAGATAGCAATCGCATTAACTAAATTTTGTTTTTTGTGATATAACATATTTATCACTGTGCTGTTGTTATTGGGGACTAGCCACATCTGAAACCTTTGATTTTATCCGTTTTATTCTATAGGTTGGTATCACATAGTTGAGTGTTTCATCTGTGTTGCTCTCATGATAATAGATCATTTAAGATACACCAACGAATGACGATTTATGGTGTAGAACTATGTATTACTATATCTAGGTTTAAATTACCTATGATTCAATAAGCGACTGCTTTCTTCATACAACTCCAAAGGTAAGCCACGATATAATGTGATTTTCATAGATTTTCACTATGAAAATCATACTAGAAGTAAAATGTTGCTGTTGCAATTAAATAGATCACTATATGCATACTTCATTGTAATACATATACAAAAACATGAAACAAAATACATGGTGACAGAGTCCAATCAATTTTAATTTACTAAAATATTGAATACAACTTTTCTGTAAATTAATCTAAAGATATATTAAAATATATTTCATCTATACTTATTATTATGATTTTATTGGTAAAAATCTGATATGTATATTGATAAATTTTAGAACTATATTTTAGTTATACTTATGGTTTTTTAATAACATTTTATTTTAAAAAATTAAATTTTTTTTAATATATAAAAAAAGTTTGAGATTTTGTATGATGTGTTATTATATTATTATATGTTAATCTGGAATGAGTCAAAATATTTAAATATATTTATTTTTATTTAACTGAAAATTTTTGTTGTGAGAAGAAAAATTGAAAATTGTGATTAAGACATGATAAATCATTTGTAAAGATTATAGATATTAAAGTTTTTTCTCAAATATGTTAAATTGAAATAATTAAAAAACTATTTTGATTGTTAATGATGGCATCTCCTACCCAAGAAAGTGTTTAGTGCCCATTTTAATAGTATGAAATTGAAATTTTGTAATCTAGATATTTAAAATGAATAGAATAAAAATTTCGAATACATATGCTTTAGTTTTAAGTCTTGAATTATTTAATAATTACAGGTAAGAAAATAGTTTTGTTGAATAAAAATATATAGATTTTTTGAATGAAATATTTATGAAATGCTTTTTGATAATATTCTTATCATTCATGTTGTAAAATAAAATTTGGACCCATAGAAAAATGTAATTTTGAGAATTTATGAATTATTTGTATCGTTCGCGTAGATGAAGTCGTATCTATTTTTGTTGGACTGCATTATATTTTTTAAAGATAAGATGTTAGTATATTTGTTATAAAAGGGTTCAGTTAGAATGTCATCGGGTCATAATTCATTGTCTATTGAAGGCACAATTAAAATATCTGCTGACTTGATTATGAAGTTATAAACAATCGCACAATGTCAGGTGTACATCAAGTCAAAATGCAGACGAAGATTAATTGGGAATCTCATATCCAAGATTTTGTAAAAGAAGTGTCCTGTACTTTGTAGATAAATTATGAATAATCTTAGTAGTCCATAATTTGAATTAAACGAGCTAAAATTGGAAGACGGAATCTGGTGGGATCTGCATGTTTTATTACGAGGAATATCATTTCTTGTTTATGTTGTGAAACCATATATAATTGAAGTCATCAAGTCATGTGATGGTGTCCTTACCAAAATAACCGTATGGGTTAAAGTGAATATAGTAAAAAATTGATGACAAAACTGCAGTTGGATCTTCATGCTGGGAAAAAATGACCATGCTCTATTAGGAATCTTATACATTAATATTTAAAAGACGACGGTATTAAACGACAATTCTCATACCTTTACTACATGTGTTGCTACATTGTGAAATTGTACTCGCATATGGCATTGATTCTTGGAGAAAGACTCCTCTCTAAGTATACGACATAAATCCATGAATTTGCAGAATGTAAATGTGATTTCCAGCTTTTCGTGGAGGAAGGCATTAATTGGACGACTTCCTCCGAAAGCCGGAGGTTGAATTTCAAAAGCTCTGGCGAGGAAAGAGGCCGAGCCCAACCATGGTTAAGAAGAGGGAGCCAATCTAATCGGTCGATGTAGAATCGGACGACCAGATTTCATATAAGTTCAGGAATCTTGTAATTTATTCACGTGCCTATAATGCCTCCGGAGTGCATGCGGAGCTCGGGTTAGGCAATTAGGGTTGAAGTTAGCACAGGAAACGACGGAGGGAAGGTGGGCGAGGAAGGCGTCGGAAGCGCGAACTGAGCAGCAGCTGTTGCCAGCAATCGAGAGATTGAGAGTGAGCGCAAAAGAGCTCAACAAATTTTGGAAATTTGTGGTATCGATGCGTGGTTTGTCTCTGTGTTTTAGTGCAGAAAAATCAGGTCGACACCTCGAATAAGTTTTCATTTTTCTATATTTCAAGCGTCGGTCTTCACTTCGGTTCCATCAATTCTTGGCAAGTGAGCAAGAGTAGCAGACATGAAGCTCGTCAGGTATGTTTTCCGAGCTAAACTGTTACTCTTATACTCTTGCACTGTCTTGCGTTGTAAGTACTTGTCCCTGGGTTACATGGAGCCGCGTTGAAGCCTACTGGCGTGCGGAAAAGTCAGAAGTTTTAATGGACAATGCAAAATATGTTACCCATTTCTACGAGTAGATTATCTGCGAGTTGGCCATCTCAAAAGGCTCAATTACAGGATAGCGAGCAAGGCCTGTACATGTGGAGCAGAGTCTGATCCCCACATTTCGCGTTCCCGCCATTTTTCTCCAGTGGAATAGGCTGTGCACTGTTTGTTCATCTGGAAGGTCATGACTCTCGTTAATAGTAATGTTTCATAAGCAAATTTCGGTAAGCATTTCTTTGCGCTATTAGCAAGAACACGACAATTTAGCTGAAACCGAACTCGACGAGTTATCAATTTTTGCTCTCCTGGGGTTTGTATCAATCACTGAAGGTGCAGGAAGAATTTCGAATGGGTAGAAGTCATCAAAGCCCGTCACATGAGCAATCATCAGTCCACGTTAAGAGAGAAGTCTTGAATGAAATTTTGGAAAATAGACTGTCATCTGGAACGGAAGCTGGAAACGCCTTCAATGATTTGCGCTGGATGCGTGGCGCGAAGCACTTACAGCACCATCAACTCCAAGTCATGTTGACTCTGTGAACTTAATGAGAAACGACTCATTTTATGGATATAATTCTTGAACAACTTGTACATGCTTTGAGAGAGGTTTTAACCAAAAAAATACTTGGTATTTGTGCAGATTTTTGATGAAACTGAACAATGAGACGGTGACGATTGAGCTAAAGAACGGCACTATAGTTCACGGAACGATCACAGGTGCGGAGGTTTTGGGGTTTGGTTGTTCGCAGCATTCGTCTTAGCTTAACAAACAAGTCGCTGGTACCTAGATCTTTTCTAATACGTTGGTAGATCGTCTCTCGTACAACCGACTCAGAGAGAGATCATTTCATGAGCTTTAGAGGATCAAGACTACTGTCGACCAGGTTTTCGTTCAATTTTCCGGGGGTGAAGGTCACTAAGATTCCATGTTCGACTTGGCGTCAAAGTTGTCGTTCTTAAGTCAAATTGATCTTTTTCGACAAACACTTTCACTTTGTATATCGTACAGCACAATTTTTGTTTTGTTGGCTCTTTTGCCTTCTGTCCGCCTCCTCGCTGTGTCTTTAATACCCTGTTCCCCTATGCCACTCCAAGATAGGACTGAAGATTTCGTGAGTACTTACATTAAGTTTTACGCGAGGCCATAGGTTAGTAGATCTACGAGTTTTGGGATTTTCTTTGAGCGTCTGAGTCGAATTGTTTCTGAGAAATCATCCACTACCGATGTTAACTCGGTCGTGGTGAAGTAGTTATACCAGACTATCTAAGTTCCATTTGGAAACGGCTTCACTTGTCTTCATTCTGAATAGGTGTGGACATCAGCATGAACACTCACTTGAAGACGGTGAAGTTGACCTTACGGGGAAAGAATCCTGTTCCTCTTGATCATCTCAGCATCAGAGGGAACAACATTCGCTATTACATTCTTCCCGACAGTTTGAACTTGGACACACTTCTGGTTGATGACACCCCGAGAGTGAAGGCCAAGAAGCCCTCTGCAGGTAAAGACTTAAAGGAGCAAACTGTTATCTATCAACTGAGCTTTATTGTGGCTGGCCGGTCCCACTTTTATATCAATGTTATGCGTACGGATGTCTCTATAACTGTGTCCAACCAGAGATTTGAGTTCCGAACGTCAGGAAATTGTGTCAGTTTGTGGTCTCCCAAGTGTAAGTAGAAGGATCTTTCCGAGTCGCGCATTTGCATATCTGCAAGGGAAGAGGAAGGCTAAATGGATTGTTTTCTATCTTCGCAGGCAAGCCAGTCGGCCGTGGCCGGGGTAGAGGCAGAGGTCGTGGGCGTGGACGCGGTCGGTAGTTGTACGTTGATTTTCTTCTTCCTTGGTGGAGAAAGTTTCAATTATTCTTCGCTTAGCATCTCTTCTAGAGGAATCTTCACATCATTGCTATATGTTAAACTGGGGTGAGTTTCCCAGCGAAGATACATGAGAGCCTTCTTTCTGTTTTCCTCCCATTGTGAGCCGAAGAAGTAAGCTGTCAATGGGACAGGTACTGAGGGCGAAGTGATTATCTCAATAGAGGAGGTTATGAGAGGGCCATAGATTGATATTGGACTTCAGAGTCAGAATGACCCTCAAAACTAGGTCCTGAGATGTGAGTCCTCGGCTTTTTGATTGACGAAATCAACCATCTGTATAAATGTAGTTGCAGGTGATTTGTAAACAAGACTAGTTAGACTCGTTAAAGGCTTGTCAATTTTGCGTGAAATTGAAGTTCTTGCAGATCACTGAGGTTCTGCGAAAGTTTGGGGAAGTTTGGCAAAGCTGTTTTTTTTATCGATCTCGTTTTAAGTAAGTTCAGCAGTCCGATTTAGCACAGCATTTTCATAGACATTGTTATTAGCTGTTGCTATAAGTTAAATGATTGTTTACTCGGGAAGGACTTCCCACGTCGAAACGTTCATCCCTACTCATGTTTCCTGCGAAGGTAACGTCGGTGAAGTAACAGAATTTTATGGAGGGCATTGAGCATGAGTTATCGTTGTGAGCTAACGAAGACGTTGTTCGTCTTGGTGTAAGCATGAGCAACATTCTATGTTGTCGAAAGTTGCTAGGCCTTTGGCTTCATGTTCTAACAAATCATAGTCCTAACCTGTTTTGTCATCAGTGGGAAGTTATACTTACATTCTGCCTTATTCGCATCGTACCCTATCGTTTAGTTTAACCTTCATGAGAGTGGTTTTCGTCTCTGCTGAATGCACTCATAAACTCCTACACCACATGGTGTAGGAATGTATGAGTCACAAGGGTTTGGCTTGAGGGAAAGTTTGGAAAGAAATTCTCAACATAAGTATATGGCATATGACAGTCGTAGTCGGATCTTTGTTCTGTGCTCTAGAAGGATGAATGAGACACGCCTGAGCTTCTCTGGAGTCTTGAGCCGATTCTTGGGACGACAAGCACGCTCCAAAATCATTTCTGGCCGTGCAGTGACAGAAGGTTTCTACTGGCTCCGGGGCGTTTTGGAACCATACATATTTGGTGGCAAGCCTCGTGGGATGGATTGCCACCTTGCTCTTAGTCCTCTAACTGTTATGAGTGGCACAGGTAGAAGCGTTGAGGTTTGCAAACAGGTTGTTTTGCACTCCCCACTACATTGCCAACTGATAACCTGACTCCTTCAGTTAAAATAATTTCTGTTTCTTCCGAGTCAAGCACAGCATGCCTCAATATTCTGATTGTCGTTATTTTATTTCTAGGACTTATTAGCCAACGGGTGCTGGTGCTTTGTCAGTACCTAGTGTTTCCCACTACAGTAGGTTCAGAAGACGTTTGAATGATTTGTAGGAAGTGTCCCCATCATAGGAATTGGATGCATATTTCAGTCACTACCTAAAATGCTCTCTGTGCTTGGTACTCATCAATGTTTGTCTCCATCGGAGTTTTTGGTGGTCTCGCTTTTATCGCTGGTTCCTCTCGTCGCTGTCTATTTGAGGGAATGAGATTTTCGTATCCTAAGAAATCAACTCTGATGGTTGTTTGGGGTCTCTTCAATATACGGTCAAATCTGTCTCTATGATATTGAGATTTGTCAAGTGGTCTTCAGCCGCACATTGTCTAGTATCCTTTGAACTCTATCGCAGAAGTGTATGTGTTTTAAGTGGTGACCTCACAAGTCTCATTCATGAGCAATATTGGTTAAGAGTGGTGTGAATATTGGTTGACACGGACGGAACTTTGCTGCGTTCCATTTGTTCGTCTAGATAGATGTTCGACTATCTTGCCTGCTGTCTCCTGTATTCACCTAGCGTCTCGCTTGGAACTTCTTTAAGGCTTCCTAGAAGCATCTTACAGTTTGCTCAATAGTTCTAATTGTATTTGTAACCTGCAGTTCACAATTAGGTTTGATTGTAACAGCACACGTTTATTTTAGTTAGTCCCTGCCGCTCACTTAAACCACGTGTTCTCGATGTTGCTATATAATCACTTGTCTTCTACACGAACGAGCTTCTCTTATCAAATGGTCTTTTGATGAAGCATCTCCAATTGTGAACGTGCGAGGATGACGCCCTTCGAATATACATCGAGACGGTTAAAGTTATCTTGCCCCGTTCTGGTGCTTGCGACGTATCTAAAACTCAAAAGTCTAGAGCAAATTTCATTGCTGTAATCACTTTGGATCAAGTTTGTGACTAGTGGACCTTGGGAGATGGTTTGTAGTATTCTAATGATCTCCTTCGCGTCCCCTCAGCACTGCGTTAACTCGAGTATGCATAGGAAGGATCTGAATCCAAGCATGCTTTTCCCTCACATCTTCGTGGAATATCAGCCTGTCTCAAAGTCCTCGTGCATTTCTTGCAAGAGCTTTCAGCAGAAAAGAACCAGTGGATGAGTAGAAGCTACTTCACTACAAAGACAGTTATTGATTGTAATGAAGTATCTCCAACGCTCTATAATTAGGCACTTTGAAACGCGTTAGCAGATCCACATCAGAATGTTGATGAGTATTACCGAAACTAGATGACACTGAGGAAACGTTGATGTAAAAGTGAGCTTAATTCGTATAGTGGCCAAAGTAGAAAGGGGAAACGAGGAGCGACGAAGATGAGGTATGTACTTGATGAGACACCATTGAAATCTAAATTAATTGATGGGACCCATCATGTTTCATAGAACCGGAGGTCAGCTCGTCGCCAGATTCCAAAATGTGTTTGTGTATACACATGATGCGAGTTTTAGTGGTTCTTTGAGAACGCAGATTGATATTCAAACAGATATTTGTCTAATTGATTTATAGAAATTTATCGTTGGATGTAGACTTTGAGTTGCCCCTTTGCTAGCATACTGCGTGGTCGTCAATCTGATTGATTGACGTGACATTTGTGTCTAAATTTATGGAGAGAATCGACAGCCATGATCTAATCTCACGCTTGGATCATAATCTATTTGTGTCCAAATCTATGGAGAGAATCGACAGCAATGATCTAATCTCACGCTTGGATTATAATCTATTTGTTGTACGTTGGAGATCAGATAATTTTTCGAACTAAATCAAATTTGTTGAAGAATTACGAAGATTTTGAAAAAGTTAATGTGTTCCATCATGCAATTGTGACCGACCAATTTCAATGTTTAAAACTTTAACTTTTTTCAATGTTAAAATTTTAAACTGTACATGATTCTTTTCCCAAACCACTAGAGAATATAAGACATTCAAACATTCATGTCATATTAAATAAACTCACCAGTGCAAATCGTTACTAGTTCTAGATATTGCATGAAGGTAGTTGGGTCAATAAAACGAAATTCAAAAAATGTAATAAGTAAATACCTCTAATGAAGATTCTAGAATATGCATGAGGATATCTGTATAATAAAACGAAATTCAAAGGATACAATAAGTAAATACCTCTGATGAAGATTCTAGAATATGCATGAGGGTAACTGTATGATAAAACGAAATCCAAAGGATACAATAAGCAAATACCTCTGATGAAGATTACTGAATAAAGTGAGAGTCTAATGTACCGTTACCTTGTATCTAGTCCAGACCTCATAAATAGTGGCATTCTTAAAATAAATGCCACTTATGCCACTATTAAAAATGCCAAAATGCCACTTTTAACTTAAGTCATTTAAGTCTTAGTTCGTTAGTTGAGGGTCTATATGATCACAAGGGCTTGTCATTAGCGCTCGTTAGCGTCTAAGGTGGCTAATCATGTCTGAAGTCTGCACAAGATGTTCCCGAATATAGCTCAGCCTCTAGCATTCTCACTCCCCACTTCATTCCGTTCGACAATTACTAATGAAGCGTCAAACTCCCTTTGGTCCTGGCCACGAGCTTGAGTTCGGCTTAAAAATTGTAGAAAAAAGCACCAATGGCAAGAATGTGATTGCAGTTCAATGCAATTTTTGCGTTTTTAATGGCTGTGAGACTAGCCATGGAGCCGGTGTCAAGCGGAAACGCACCGCAAACGTCCACTTCTTGCGTTCACCGTTTCGCCTGTAACTGTACCGAAAGCACATGGAAACAGTGCACACTCAAGATTGGTTGAATTATAAGACGCTTAGTACCGAACAAAAGCAGAAGTTCTTCGACGAGAAGCAGTGATCAGAAATTCATGCATATCTTGACACCACCAAGGAGAACATCACATTCGATATTTGCAATGTCGCGATTGTCAACGAGTTAATTCGCGATTTGTTTTTCAAGCCTAAACTTGACGAGGACAGTGAAGAGAGCGAACCGATCTTGAAGTCTAACGCTCTCAAGCTTTTTCGCCCCATATTTAAGTGCAATGAAAGTGGTATGAAACAGAAAGATAGAGATGCTAACGAAGAAGCTGATCAGGATGTCTTGCGGTACGCCATCACAATTAAGAATCCTCTGCGGTTCTGGCTCTCGATTGATCATTTCAGCGTCGGTTTGTCGTTTAGACAAGCTGCCACCGTTATCACTTAGCACCGCAATCGCACCAAGAATGCTAAGTTGATGGACATCAGTGATCACATGGTTGGGAATTTTGTTCGCGTTCTTTTGGCGGTCGCATTGCAATTGCTATCCAATGTGCTCTGTAATTCATCGGTGTGGGCAATTTTTCTCGCACGAGATGCGTCAACGCACCAAGGCACACCATTGTTGGATCAGCGAATTCGCGTGTGCCGCAATGGCGTTCTGATGAACCTTCATTTGGTGTTGGTGCCGTTCTTTCAGTGCCACACGGCGGTCAACTACGTCAAGATGATCAACACCGTTATGGATGTTTTGTGCCCAAATTGAAAGGACAAGTTGATTGCAATTGCCTATGATGGAGAAAATACGATGACTGTTCGCACTGGCGGTGTTGAGACGTTGTTCACTGATTAATGCACCAAAACTGTGCTGCGCGTGTGTGGTGTGTGCCTCATCAGCTGGATCTGGTCGTGAAATGGCCATCAATGGTGTCGATGGTGGCGAATCTTACAATTTTACAACGGCTCATGCGTTCTCCGTGCATCTGCAATCGCATCACAATCTGATCAGTGCAATGAATGGTGCCAAATGTCCGAAAGACAATACTCGATGGGTGGCGTTCGGAAGTTTGATGAAATAGATCATTCTACACCGTCGCCGCCTTCTTCAACACATCCTTGAGAAGAGTCTGGTTCAAGCGCCGTCCCAATCTTGGTGGATCCTGGCTGCGTGTTTGCTGCCCCTGTTTGAGACGCTTTTCACTACCTTCAGGATTGTGCATGCTCCTAACATTGATATATCCCAACAGCGTCATGAAATGGAGGAGTTGATCGAGAAGATTTGCTTCACAATCGGTGCTCGTTCATTGCTAGACGGATCATTGGAGGGGGTTGCTTCAGACACCATTGTGTCCAATGGAGATTGATGGATTGCGCGTGATTCCATTCGCGATCATATACATGATCAGGGATCGTGGGTACATGATATGTTTGAAGGACTTGACGAACCTGAGAAATCAAAGATCGTTCATGAGATGGGCTTGTTTGCACTGACCATGATTGAAAAAGTATCGTTTGTGCAAGCTGAGCGTGATGCAAACAACAACCGGCTTGAAAGTGAAGCGCCGCCTATCATGCCGACTGAGATTGTCAAATTGCCAACCCGGACATTCATAAAGGAAGTATTGGATCGTTTCCGCGGCCATATCAACAAGCACTGGTCGGCAGAGTATATTGACAAAATCAAAGATGACCACAAGAAGTTGGTCAATGCTGCCAAGAATGACGGTGCAATCAAGAAACAAGCCACGATGAGAAGACTTTCTTCAACGACGCCTGGGATGCCATCTCGTCAACAAAGGAGGATGGTACGATTCGAAGTGCCAATCTGTGTCAATTCTGTGGAGGTCTCGCGACCGTCTTCTCGAACACTTGCGCGGTAGAATCGGACTTCTCCGTTGTCAAGTTTGAACAAGACAACCGTCGCACCAATCTCCAATCGTTGTCTTTGGCCGGAATGATGCATTCCAAGCAATACATTTTACTGTGTAAACTGTTCTGAGCACAACTGTCCGACTTTTTGCACATTTTATACAAACTGTCACATATGCCACTTTTAAGAACGGTGAGGTGCCACTTTTAAGTTAAGAGTGGCAAAAGTGGCATATGTCACTATTTATGAGGTCTGATCTAGTCCATGTCGACAAACATTTCAAGCTTGGAAAGACGTGTTTGTGAAAAAAGTTTCTCCTCGTAATCTGTGCTTGCTTACTCAAGCATAATTGACTTGAGGATGAAACTCCGAAAAATAATAACTTCCGGAGTCGAAGTGAACGTTACTAACCCAATTTTGGTAGAAGAGCTCAGCGATAGTTATACTCGTACCTTACATACAATGTCTTTACATATCAGTCTCTTAGAACGATACTACTTAGATCTTGTAGATAGTTAT